TGGGTGAGGTCGGGCCCTCTGGGGGTAGCTGGTTCCACAGGGTAGGAGCAGCCACAGAGAAGGCTCTCCTCCGGGGGCCTGCCAGCCGACATTGTCCAGCTGACGGCATCCAAAGGAGGCCCACTCTGTGGGATCTTATCGGCTGTTGGGAGGTGTGTGGCAGTAGGCGGTCCCGCAGATACACTGGTCCTGAGCCATGTAGGGCTTTAAAGGTGATAACCAAACCAGGGTATAGGAGATACCCTGTTTATTCTCTCCATCAGCTTTGCTAGTGAAATAAGTTGGTGCACTGAAGAAAAGCTGTGAGAATTGGGGAGAATTGAGGTGGAATTGCTACAGCTGACCAGTATATCCCTATAATGCTCTTGGTACTGAAGAAATGCCAGCCAATAACTGAGACAACTCTAATTCTTGCCCTAAGACCTCTGCTGCACAGACTGTTAAATCAGGCATCACCTTAAAAGAGATCTGGGTAAGCTGAAAAGAAGCTTATAAGATTGAAGCAGCTGTGATTGTCATTGCTGAAACTTAGCTGTATGTTGCTTGAAAGAGATGCTTATTTATGCTTGGTCCCGTCTGAGGTGTGCTGTGGGATTCTTATTAGTTAACAGCCATACATCATAAAGAGCTTTATGCCACTCCTTCCCTGGAGCAGAGAGAGAGGCTGGTGAAGCTTACCCAGCTGCGTCTGGAGATGAGTTTGGGAACTCTTCTCAGAGAGCAAACTGGCATATGGGAGTCCATCTCCAGTTTGGAAGCTAATATGATTAACAATTTTTTTTATTCCTCTTAATAACTTGGACAGGCTTTCACTAGTCATTGGAAACTTTTGCAGAGAGAGACATGAATTCCTCCAAGCTTTCATATATTCTCCCTTTGCACTCTAGCGTGCCATGTGGTCCAGAGGGTTTCGTATAACTTACCCTAGGGAGTGGGTTTTGCTGCCACACAGAGTTAGGTTACCTAGTAATGAAATATCTGCAAGAAAACAGTTCAGAGAGCACCAAGGACCCCTCATTTCAACTCTGAGCTACAAATATTCTCCTTTATAGAGCGGAGCTCTCAACATACATGGAAATAGGAAAGTCTCCATGATTGCCTGCAAAAGTTAGGACATGGCAGTGCCTCCCTATATCAGTAGCTTGTATTGGTCGGGCAAGTGAACTCTAAAGAGAAGCAGTAAATAGAATTAGGAAGGGGGTTTGGTAGCAATAGCAATAGCA